AAATTTGAACTATTAGCAGAGCAGAGAGAAATTCTTGCTCCAAATATATATCACAGAATTCATAGCTCCAGCAGACATGGAATTCAGGCCTACAAACAACTCTTATCATTGGTCTATGTACCTCCTCCTTGGTTTCTTCCTGATTTAAAAATTTTTTGACATATTACTATAGAAAAAATTGATTGTCTACTTCAAATATCCTTTGCATTGTGGTTTGGAAGTAGACTGTCCTCCATAACTCCCATGTGTTTCAACACAAGGCCTTCAGATTCTGGCACGGTTGTATGAAGTTATAGGGTAGGCCTAGCTACAGGAAGTAGCTGTATCAGGAGGAGTGGTATTAATGCATGAAGATTGACCCTGCTCACTTTCTGACCTTTGTTTGTCATTCACTGGGATGATAGCAAGCTGTTACCTCATCCCACAGTGACCCTGTTCCCAACCTTGAGGGACTGTTTTCCTTGAATATGAACCAACATAAACTCTCTTCCTTTAAATTGTTTCTTGCCTTTATTTGGTGACAGTGGTATAAAAAAATAACTTACATAAAATTGTTGTCAAGAAGTATAGTGCTTGATCTGCTGTGAGAACCCTGACTATGTAGTTCTTAAGCATTTACAACTTATTTGTCTTAGAGAAGAGTTTGGAGCTGTGGACTAGCCAAACACTAGTGTTGTATGCTATCTCCTCTGAACTGAGACATTCATGCCTAAGTGGAGGGTCTAGGACTTGGAAAGTAAACAAAACCTGTAAAACCTGGGAAACAAATGAAATTTACAAGGGCAGGAGGTTCCTGAAATCTGCAAAATTCTCAAGACACCTACACAAGGTTATATAAGCATTAACAATTCTCAAACAGTAGAGTCTTTGACCAACAGAGATCTCCAGCAGCACTGATTTTATGAGTTGATACCCTTCCTAGTGAGATGCCAGTTCCTGGCAGGCACCCTGGCAGGCAGATAGGTAAAGGAGCAATGGTTAGGTGATAAATAAAATAGGCATCTTCTCACCATGCCATTTAAAACAAACGACCTGTGGGCTTTGGCCTTCCACAGGCAGGCCCTCTGCTGATGGGCTAACTCTACTGGTCAGGACAGTTTATACAACAGATATGGGTCAACATGTCATCCTATCTTTCTTCCAACTGACAAGCCCTAAATTAAGGAAGGAAAGTTTTCAGAGACTTAAAAAGCAAAGCAAAGAAACAAACAAAACTCCAGCCTTGGAGTAGAGACTGGACTTTTTGTTCTTTAGAATCCACCTCTGCTTTGCAGAGGGTCTTTTTCTCTGTGAGTCTACTGCTTGTTTGTTTCCTCAACTCCTGCAAAACCCTTTCTTCAACCGTTGATTCCATCGACTGCTGTCTGCAGTGTCTGGGCTTTCTCTGCTGCTACCTGTTGTGCTGGAGATTTTTCCTGCCTTTTAATTCTTTGATTGGCAGAAAAGATGGGCATCATCAAGACCCCTACACTGTCTTATTGTGCCTTATTGTGATGCAGCTTCCTTTCAGTCACCCAAGATCTGTAGGTAACCCTTCACCCATACTGTACGTAATCCCAATAAACTCACTAGTTTATGAAGCTAGACTTGGTGAATAGATACTTTTTCATGTGTTCCCAGGAAGTCATACAACACATAAATGCTGTATATAGCATTCAGGAGACCATTATGGTGGAAAGAGGAAGGTTTTCTCACTGCCTCACAACACTCTGCTTCATGTTCACCGAGAAGTGTGGCAGAAATTGTTGTGTGTTCCCATCACACCCCCTCCAGGAATGATGGACTACATGCTTTGAGCTGTGAGGCAAAATAAACTCTGCGCCCTTAAGTTGTTTCTTAGTGGGTGGTTGGTCTCAGTGATGAGAATAGCATACTGCTATCTCAATTTGTCAATGTCTGGATATGAATTTCAAGTTCTTGAGATAAATGAATCAAATAGAAATTTTTTTCAAGGGCATCGTTGTGCTGCTGATACTGTTCTTTGGAGCACTGAGCTCCTAACAAAGATCTGTGCAGAGTCTGTAGAGGGACTTCACATACCTGCCACCCTTTTTTTCCTTTTTTCAAGGCATACACATTTGCCTTGAGTCCAACAAGGTGAAGAAAAGTAGTGAGGACAATATGGAAAGCCAGCCCTTTTGGTCTTTCCTCTCTAAATAACACAGAAGATCAGAGAATCCTCAGAAGACAGTGCTTAAAATCCATCTACATAAGCACTTTGAAAAGTAGACCAGGAAATTGATTTTGAAGTTTGAGCAAATAAATGAAATGTGACAAATACCTTAGTTAAAATTATAATTTATAAAAAATAAAGTATAATGGAGAAAGAAAGTATGCTAACTTGGGTGCAATTTGGGGCTTGGGAGTTAGGGGAAAGAAAAGTATGGCAGTAATTTTTTCAGGTGTTTTACTTCTTTTCTGTTTTGTTTTTGGGAGGTCTGTTTCTTCCATGTGATCCATCAGATCATGTGTTGTTCTAATAGGCTGAGAGGGAAAGTGGTCTATATGAAGTTATCACTGAAGCAAAGCCAGTTTTGCAGATCTCACTTGGCTTTGTGATTCGAGAATCAGCTGGTAGCCTGAACCAAAAATAGTTCAGAATTCTTTGGCTTACTACATAGGATGACTATTTTTAACCTCCATAGAAGAGGAAGTGGGCACACAAACCAGAAGTGAAATAGAGAGGACTTGACTGGTTATAGCCCACATCTGTCTTATTTGAGCATGAAAGGAACATCTGGCTTGTGATTTGCTGACACCTAGACCTTTGGGTCAAGAATGCATATCAAGTTAGCTTTTAATATTAGCAAAATTTTAGCCTCAACTTAAAATATGTATGGAGGCATCTTTTGCTTTATAAGATTTATCTATTCTTCCCAAAGAGGTTGAAAGAATAATTTCTCATTAGTGATTTCTAAACACATTCAAATAAGTCCTTAGTAATCCTTGGAAATTCTTTGTTTTGCTACAAGGAAGAAATTCATCCATAATTGGTTTTCAAATGTTGCTTTTAATTTTTCAAAACATTTCCACTTATGTCTTTTAAATGTCTATGAATTTCTAAAAATTAATCATTTATGAAGTGTAGTAATTCTTACTAACATCGTCAAGACCATTGCTGTAGACAAGTGAGGAACGACTGATGTCACTCTTCCAGGGCCTACTTCTTCTTATATGTCTATTTTGCGTGTGGAAATTTTACTCAGGATTATATCCAAAGGGGAGTTGAAAATGGTTTGAAGATATATGGATTTATCATGTGACAATTTGGGGTTTGCAATTTTGAAGTTATTGGTTCAAGACTCATATTTGAAACCTGACTCACTCTATGGACATAGGATTCATTACTGCTCGTGTAACTGCCAACCCTTGAGATGGAGTAGGAGGCCTCTGTGATGTCTGCAGGTGTGGCTTCTGCTACCTCCCATTGTACAGCACACCTTTCTCTTTCAGAATTGGTGCTAGGCTCTGGTTTTATTCCTGAGTGCATGATTACATGGTTGAATTTCTTCTTCTTATATAAACATACTTTCTTCATTAACAAGTATATTCTAGGCCTTTTCTCACTAATACATTTCTATAAGCATAAATTTCATGTCTATAAAATATCACATATATTAAGTAATATCCCCATTGGAAATTTAGGTTGATGCTTTTATTAATATAATAAGTGATGCCTTGGTGAACAATTTTGTCAACATTTCTGACTACTCTTTCCAGAATAAATTTCTAAAAGTGGATTTTAGCGTCAAGGGATGTCAGACTTGTAAAATTCCCTAAGTTTTGCTAAACTTCTTTCTGTAAATTCTGTTAATTTTACACTCAGAATGAAATCTAACAATGTGGAATTTCAAATGATGGTTCTAAACCTAAACCCTTTGTCTCCTGAGAAAAGAAAAATCTTTGTTAGCTATTAGAAGTGGAATAAATGTATGAATGCATGACGACATAATGCAAAGACGTTTCTTCTGAAATCAGCGAATAAGAAGTACACCAGCAAAAACGTAAATGAAAGTTTGTATTACTAATCAGTTAAAAATTTTCAATTGTTTATCAAGTTCTAAAAGTGAGAATGTTTGTATCCATAATGACCATAGAATGCAGGCCCATTTCTGTCTGCTGTACAAGCACACATGTTTCAAAGTGTAATGAGAATGTGATGCCTGACTGCCGTATTTAAAACACATTATAGCTCATAATTCAATCACCGACAGCCGTCCACTTGGGACTTTACCTTTTAGTCAACTGTTATTGTTTGAATTCTGAGGTTCAACATGGCATTGCCACTTATTGATTTCATGAATTGGTGCGGGTCAATTTTCTCCATAAGCCTTGTTTGCAAAATGAACACAGTGTTGGCATGGTGACAGGAAATGAAGCACGCAAAGAACTCACCATTTTGGTGCAAACAATACAGTCCTGCATACTTTCCGCGTGCGGCTGCTGAAAACAACCAGGAGTGTGGCTGGTCCCAGTTGAAACTTTCTATACATGTTGAACACACATCAGTCTCATTGAAAACCATGAACTGCTTAATAAATCATTTCATGCTGAAGCAATACTCTTTGGGATATCCTGTTTTCAAACAAAACACATTATTAAAAATAATTGTAATTTAGTGCTTAAATACTTTTTCCCATTTAAAAAGATTGTGCCTTGCATTATTTTTTATTGGGCAGATCTGCTCTAGAATATGATGGCAGCTTATTAAATACTTTAGAGATGAAATAAACATAGATTGTTTCCTCCAATGTAGAATTCGGAGTTTTCTTTTTATTCTAGGGACTTTTGATATTTGGCAGTGATCACTTATTTAGATGGGTTAGAAAAAACTTAAGTGAGGACTAGGCATAAAATTTTACTCTTCATCAGAGGAGGGGTAAGAGTTTATAAATAGCATCGCCTCCCTCCCTCGTTGCCCAATGTCTATCCCTGATGAGTTATTTTTGTTGGCCACATTAAGAACCTGACATTTGATTCTTTCTCAGTGTGTTCTGCGTTGGTCCTTTGAAGCAGAATGGATAGTGAGCAAAAGGTCAAAGCGGTTGTCAAAGCGGTTGTTGCTGGTTGCATACATTCAGGGCCACAACTGACAGCAGAGCCTTAGGAAGACCATCATATTAAAGATGGCAAAATGCTTGGTCAAGATCCGGACTCAACGAAGCCTTCACTTGCACATGATGAACCACTGTAGCAGCAACGTGTTCGTTCGTCTGCTGAAACATGGCTCCAAGGTCATACCTCGAAATGCTGGTATGTGCTCTGCCCTGGGCTATCATTCCATGCCTAGAGAAGTGTGACTGCTTCCAGCTGCGCGCTCACCACTGGTGAGCCAGAGGGACGCTAAGGATGCATGTGGCATACATTTTTATGTTTCATAAGGAGTGAAGGTAGACAGGGAGAGAACAGGAAGGGGAGATGAAAGGCAATGAGGGGTGTGAACAAGAAAGCGAGAAGGGGAACGGAAAGCCAAGCTCTCTTGCGCAACAAATAGCGAATGCCTTCTTTATTCAAAAGATTCCAGAGGAAGGCTGTTGTGTCTTTCTGCAGATTGCTTAGGAGTGGGAGATGATGCTTACAAGGCATAACGGGCAATCAAAAGACTTCTCTGCCTCCCATTATGTGAATATTCAGATCTCAAATGTGTTTCTATGAGGCAGAACCCCTCCCCCCCTTTTTTAACTTCCATTGAGAATTTTATTAAAATAAAATACCAGGTCCTCTTTTGGTTTCTCTGAGCTCACACACACAGAGAAACATGTAGATGAGTAAAATGAAAATGAAAATGAGTAAAATAAAAACAATCAGCTAAATAACCACCATCAGACTGATGCCATACCTATTTTTTTTTCCTCCGTAATGATCCTGTTTTATGTTACTGCATGGTCGGAGAAATTGAAGCAGGAATTCAAAGTCAGATCCTCACCTCACAATGCTGCTGTATTTTATATGTTCTTATGTTTGTGTATTTTTTCAGTGAATGGTTACAATAAAATTTATTCTGAGAAACAGCTGAAATTGGTCATAGCCTAGTAATATTTATAAAATTGCCTTCTTAGTTGAGATTAAGTGTATTTTTATGATATAAATAGGATGTGTTGTGCTCCTGTTCTAGAACCTAGACAATTATTGTTTTCTTTTGTTTGAGGAAGGCTTGCACGCCTAGGCTAGCCCGTAACTTACTGTGTGGCTCATAGGTGGCTGGGACCTCACAATCTTCTTCTGCCCTCCTGAGTTGTGTGATTGACGTGTACAAGCATTATTTCCATCTTATTTTTAAAAGCACAAATATAGTGAATATTTTCTCATGCATTAGCATTCTTAATAATGAGTTCAGGAATGCTAAAAGTAGCACATAAAGTATTTTTTATGAATAGAATTGCTCTAGGTATAGTGTTTTATAATGCATTTTAAACTTACGATTGACAAAAGAATTTCCATATTAATACAGATTAATATGAATCTTTTCAAAACTGACCAAATAATACAGAGAATAATTATATAATGCAGATAAATAATAATTCACTATGTAATCACAAAATTATCATTAGAAATTATCATTTATTCATTTTAGTCATAAAAGTGATGAAAATAATTTAGAAACAGGTATTTCTCTATCATTTTTTTTCCAGACAGGGTTTCTCTGTGTAGCTTTGGAGGCTGCCCTAGAATTCGCTCTGTAGACCAGCCTGGCCTCGAACTCACGGAGATCCACCTGTCTCTGCCTCACGAGTGCTGGGATTAAAGATGTGCGCCACCAATGCCTGGCTTTCTCTATCATTCTTAAAAATATATGTGTTAGGATATAAAAAACAAACTTGATGGAAATTATGTAATTATCTGTGGCGCACTCCCTGACCAGCAGGAAAGACAACCACCAGACAAGGATTCTTCCCAAATCGCATTTTATTGGAGCCTCTTGGTTGAAGGGAGAGCAGGAAGCGAGGGACCCCGAACAAAGACTGCAGCTGCTTATATAGAAGCTGAGGCAGCGTGCAACTGTCCTATTGGTCGAGCACCCCTGGCAACCACCTCAGGCTCCCTGATTGGCCCAGCAAGCTGAGGACACTGCGGCATGCCCGAGCTGGTGATTCGGGTTATGACCCTATATGGAGTTGTTTACTCCAACCCTGCAGGGGCCCAGCGCCATCTTGGAATGGCGGCCACACCTCATGGCTCCCTGAAATTATCTTTAAAATACACTAACACAGTAAGTCTGAGAATATATGCTTACCACATCACTACTAGATCTATTAGGCTTGCTGCCTTGGCATTTGGTAGCAAAATGACTGGGGATGTAGTTCAGTGGTAGAGTTATGCATTTTTTGATAATCTAGGGCTAAAAACCTTTCAGTTTTTGCTTTGTTTTACCTAAAAACATAAGAAGTGCAGCCATTTCCTATATGGATCCATTGCCAGAGCGATGTATTTTTCTAGATGACACAAAATGATTGCCTAGCAACCAGAGTTTATAGTAGGGTTCATTCTTTGTGTTGTGCATGCTATGAATCAGTACTGCATCATACAAAACACTTTCACTGACATAAAGTCCTGTTTGCTACTCTTACTGGTTACTTTTTTCTACCAACCATGGGCAACCTCTTACAAATCTCCATCTCCTTTTCCAGAGTGTAGCATAGTAGGAACCACACAGGATGCAGCCTTTTTAAATTCTTCCCTTGTAGCCATAAGCACCTAAGACTGATTTAGGACATCATTTTAGCACTGAATTATATAACATAATTGGATTTATTTAAAATTTTTAAATTTTTATTTTTTAATTATTCCTGTAATCTTCCCCCAATTATTGTTCCTGAAAATTTTAGAGAATTATTTTTAAATTGTAGTGAAATTTATATTAAAAAGAGAACTGAATGTTTGAATCGTTTAGGGCATTTATTGAAGAATGTCATCATGGTCCTTCATTTAATGACTTATTCAGTTACACTTTAGCATTGTTCTCATTCAAATCTTGCATATTTCTTTTCATTTTGTATACTTTTGAGTATTTCATATTAAGGATTTTGAACAAGATTGTCATTTATTATATTTTGATAGACTTGACTGATGTGCTATGAATCACTGAATTCAGATACTGGTTTTGCTTTTGAAAACTTTGCTGAATTCTCATGATTTTCCTGTTTATTTTGTTTTATGCACATATTCTTACCTTAGGAAATAGAGAAAGTATGTTCCACATTTCATACTTTCATATTTCTAGTTCTATTAGAGTGAGTCTGATGAATAGTAAAATTTTGTCATGGTTCACACTGGTGGAAATTCTTCTAATGATTTCACATTATATACCTTCACCATCATACATAGTCATTTATTTGATAGAAATCTCAAGTCCTTGACTTTTAAAACATAAAGATTTGATGGAAAGGGGGCCAAAATAAAACCACAGCAAGTATGGTATTTGGTTATAATGATAAACAGATCCACAAAGTGGAATGATAGCTGTAAGGTTAAGGTGCCATCAGGAGAAATTAACAGAGAATCATGATTCAGACTGGTTTAAATCACAAGGTAAGCTTTTAAACAAAAGAGAAGTTCCCGAGAAAATGGTGAGAAAAACTTGCATTTTATCTCTGTTCACAACTTTTCCAATTGTCAGGGTTTTACCTCAAAACAGCAGCCTTTGTTGTGATTTTTATTTTCTCCTTCACTTTCAACATTGTCAAAAGAGTCTATGTTGGTTAGGTTTATGTCAGCTTGATACAAGCTAGAGTCAGTTGGGAAGTAGTACCCTCAATTTAGTTAATGCCTCCATACAAATGGCCTATAGGCAAATCTATAGTTAAGCTGGTTAATCAATTCTTGATAACAATTGGTGTGGGAGGGCCAAGTCCACTATTGGTGGTGAGGCCCCTGGACAGGTGCTTCTGTACAGTCTAAGAAAGCAGGCTGACAAGTTCTGAGAAACCACTCAGCAAGCAGTATTCCTCTGTGGTCTGCGTCTTCTGGTTCCTACCCTGTGTTCTTGCCCTGACTTCATTCAGTAATAGACTATGACCTGAGAGTTGTAAGATGAAATGAATCTTTCCTCACATCGATAGGAACCTAAGAGAGACAGAAGTTTGCTCTGAAGAGTAGAATATTGGTGTGTGTTGTGGGGAGGACTACAGAAGGACCTCTGGAACAGCAGCCAGTATTCTTAACCTCTGAGCCATCTTTCCAGCTCTTGGACTATAGAAGGAGTTGGGAACTTTGAGCTAGAAAAGCCACAGAATGCCCAGAGATTAATGGGGGTATTTGGGAACTTGGAAGATAAGGCTGAAGCAGATGATGGAGGCCATGCTTATGAAGTATCAGAGAGAAACCTATCAGGATCATTTTGTGATATTTTGAGTTAAGAATGATATTTTGAGTTAAGAATCTATGGTTCTTGTCAAGTGGAGTTGAAGAATTGGCTCTCATTAACAAGAGACCAGAAAACCAATAGTGAAATCTTTACTTTGCTAGTACAGTCAATACTGGTTAGATGGGGGTTAAGAACGAGTTGTGGTTGAGAAGAGACTAGCATGAAGGTAAAATCTTCTGGGAAGTACTTTTAGAGCTAGCACACAGAAATTGAAGTTGATGGACTTTAAGGCTGTATCTTATGACAGAAATCAAATTTGGTGATATGCATGCATTTCCCAGGAGGTAGTAGCTTTGAAGAGATGAAGAGGCCATGGGGAGCAGCTGAGGCTAGATGCTGAGAAACAGAAGCCATTTGTGAAGGTAACAGCCTTAATTGCAGGGCAGATCAAAGGTCACAGAGAGAAATTAAGGTTTGGCACCTTGTGGCAGGGTCAGAATCCCTTAAGAGAGGCCAGGAGAAGCCACTGGTGTGGGTCTAATCTCAGTTGCTGGGGAAACAACCGTATATTGGAGGTACAAATAACCATGGATGACCACCAAGGACCGCCGCAGATGTGAAATGGGTCTGCCCCGAGCCTCTTTGACATGCACCTGTGCTGTGAGTGGCAGAGCCAGAGGAGCGGAGCTGCCCAGGCCCTTTGGAGCCTGGAGGATCATAACTCAGACATCTGACACTGAGCTTTGCACTGCTGGACTTTTGTTTTGTTTTGATTGTAACTGGGCTCTGGCCCTTCCCTCCTGGAGTATGAAAGTACTTAACTTGCTTTACCCAGGCGCCAGCATTCCATAAGGCCACAGTTAAGAGATTCTGGAGTCTTAGAAAGATTTTATTTTACTAAGATTGAACTTTTAAAGAGACCTTGATTTTTTAAAGACTGAACTTTATATATATATTTGAGACAGGGTTCGCTGTGTAACAACCCTGGCTGTCCTGGAACTTGCTTTGTAGACGAGGCTGGCCTTGGAATCACAGAGATCTGCCTGCCTTTGCCTCCTGAGTGCTGGAATTAAAGGCGTGCACCACCACTGCCTAGCAAGATTGAACTTTTAAAGTGTTTGAATTTTTAAAAGCTGTGACACTTTTAAAGGTTGAAATGGTTTATATTGTAAGAATTATATCAATATGACATCTTAGGGGAAAAGGAAAGTTTATGATTTAATAGTTATGTGTTTGAATGTCAATTTGACAAGGTGTCAATTACATTAATTCTGTGTAAACTCGACACAGCTAGAATCATTTGGGAAGAGAGACTCTTAATTTAGAAAGCACATCCATAAGAGTAGCTTATAGGGGCTGGAGAAATGGCTTGTTGATTAAGAGACCTGGCTGTTCTTCCAGAGGACACTGGTTCAATTCTCAGCACTCACATTCATCACCATGTGTAACTTTAGTTTCAGGGGATCCAATACCCTCTTCCTGCTTCCATATGTTCCATGAATTCATGGGACACACAGACACCCTTGTACACAAAAGACCCATAAACATGAAATGATATTTTTTTAAGATTAGTCTATAGGTAAGTCTATTGTTTTTTCTTGATTAATGATTGATGTGGGAGCATCCAGCCCACTCTGGGTGGTGCCATCCCTGAGCTGATGTTTCTGAGTAAGCAGGCTGGGCAAGCAATGAGGAATAAGCCAGTAAGGGGCACACCTGCAGGGCTTTTCTTTAGTTCCTGCCTTGAGATCCTGCTCTGACTTCTCCAAGTTGTTTTTGGTCATGGTGTTTTATCACAGCCCTAATTAGTTCTGAGTATCTACCTTTCCAAGATGTTGCAAGAAGCAAGAATCTTTCTCAGAAGTCCCATTTTCATGATCGCCTCAAGTCTTTATTTCTATTTGGACCTTCTAAACAAATATAGCCAGGAGACTGGGAATGGACCTTTCAAATATTTCAATATGCTAATTTTGGCCTTGCCATATGAAAGGAACTTAATGTACATTTATCTACTTGCAATACCTCATACAATTATGACCCAAATTTTCTGCTAATTCATGCATACGAAGTAAGAAAATAACAATTAAAATAGTAGGTTCACTAGAATTAGTAAACAGTCAGAGTTCAGCAAAGTGATGTGAGAGCTTGTATGCTCAAAGTCAATGTTAAATGGGTGGTAGAAGGTGCATAGGTCCACAATCTTCTTTAATCTAGAACATCCATTTTGGAGAAAAACTGGCATTTTCAAGGATAGTAGTAACTGGTAGTACCAGGATGAGCACGTCTTAATCAGCACATCGGAAGCAGACATACGGTTGAAACTTTCAGGAAGAAAGTAGAGTGAGAAGAGCAGAGAATTGAGGTCATTCCAGAAACTGAGTGGACTGGGGATTGAGGTAGATGAAGTCAGTGAGTTAAATCAAGAAACTGTGGACTCATGGAGGCTGACTAATGAGAGGAAAGAATGATCACACACACACACACACACACACACACAACACACATTGGCTTGATCAATGCTGTGACCAATCATTGGAGACTTTGATGAGTGCCATTTCCATAGGCAGTGTGCAGAAAAAAATGATTGAGAAACACAGGAAATATGTGAGTTCTCATGAGTTCTAGATGTTTGTCATACACAAAAAAAATGTTAATATAGGTGAGAACTGAGGGGAAACCACGAAGTTGGTAGGTGATAGACACAAGGTGAAGACACATTATGCAGCTATATGAAACTCCCTAGAAGAGGGAAGGTAGCAAAAGAATGCTGAGCTATTATGAGACTACCCCCTTCCTAAGAAGGTGGGCACAGAAACAAGGAAGACTTTAGGATTTCTTTGTGTGTTTGTGCTTGTGTATGTGTTTGTCTAAGTTCTCATTTTTTATGCTTTTCAGAATCACCAGGATAATTTCTGATAGATGTAACATAGATCAAACAAGCGGTATTCCTAGGGTGTTCAGAGGCATGCCCTATATGAGATATTCTGAGATGTCCAATGAAAATGTCCAATTGAAAGTGAAAATATTCATTGAGAAAGTCAATTGCATTCAAGAGAATTTTAAATTTAAACCCATGGATCATAAATTTCATTTGAAACACTAAACTATAGGCTGCTTACTCTGGAGAGAAAACATTTTTGTGACTGATATCACATGCATTGTAAAACATTTAAAGTTTATTTCAGACTTAACCTGCAAATATCAATAGCAACTTATCTTTTGCTTTGGTTATCATGCTGTTTATGATATAATAATAAGAGATATTACATCACATGTAGCAGTTGTAAAATTGAAGGAAAGTAAGGAGCATTTTCATCCTGAAATTGGACAATAGAAACATAATTGGACTGTTCCAGGTGAATGATATGGGTGGTGACTCTATGTATAATGTAGTTGTGGTTTTTAGTGAATAAAATTAGATCACCATCACAGAAGATTGGAAAACGCCTTGAACTTTGGATCCAGACAAGCTTGTTAACCTTTTTGGGGAAAGGCATATGAATATTTCTACTATCAGGATCCCCAGCCTGGAATACATGGGTAAATTGAAATATCAGAAGTTCTGTCCATAGTTGGATGTCCACAAACCAGAGTCACACACCTAAAGGTAATTACAACCTTTGGTCACTGTTGTTTTAGGTTTATCCTGTTGAGCCAAGAACTTACTATGAAAGGTCTATTATTAAACTGATTTTGTTTAAAGTCAACATTCCACAGAACAGGTTCATGTATATGTTGAATTCCACATGTTTCTACATCCAGATTTTTGTGAAACAAGAGAATCTGAAATCTAAACTTTATAAAATAATGTTTTTTTTCCAGGTGCCCCATTGCCTAAAGCAGATGTTTCTGAGTCCCTGCCTGTCAGCTCACCAGTGAAGAGAGCTCGAGGTGCAGATGCTCTGAGTGAAGAGGAAGAGCAAGTAAAAGAAGACCCCGTGACCATCTCTGAACTAGCATACAGTCCCAGCGCCAGCCTGCTCCCCACCCCAGTGGATGATGACGAAATCGACATGCTCTTTGACTGTCCGTCTAGGTTCGAACTGGACAGAGAAGACACAGATTCATTTGAGGAGCTGGACGCAGATGAAAATGCCTTTCTGATGGCTGAAGAGGAGGAGCTGAAGGAAGCCCGTCAAGCTTTGTCATGGAGCTATTCCATCCTGACTGGCCGTATCTGGGTCAATCCTATAGTCAAGCGTTGCTCCAGGCTCCTTGTGGTGGGCCTGGGACTGCTGCTGTTTGTATTTCCCCTGCTCCTCCTCCTTTTGGAGTCAGGTATTGATCTCTTCTTCTTATGCAAAAACCTGAATTTGAGCAGTTTTGCTATAAATACTACTGTCCCCTGAAGGAGTGGGCATCTGGGAAGGTCAACATTTTTGTGTACTTGTTGGGATTCCCTAGTAAGAACAAAGGCTGTATTCAATATTAATATTATTTATTTTTCAAAAGATGCCATGGTCCAAATGGCCATGGGTTTGTATGCCAAACCCTTAATTTGGCTTTCTATACTTCCATATACTTCTATCAGTTTAAATCAAGTAAGGTTATTTTGTTTATGTTATAAAGGTAGCCTTGAAGAAACAAAAGATATATTTTTATCACAGTGTAGATATTCTTTTTTATTCTACATCATAGTGAATTATCTTTTCCTGTTTCTTTGTCATTGTCAGCATTATGAAATACAATGCTAATAATTAGAGTTTTAGTCAAAATCTAAGGGAACACTTTTCAATACAATCCTCAGTGAAAACAGCATTTCTCTAAGAAAGATTTATTCAACTAAATTTACCTTGGGCCTTTCTTTCAGTTTTTAAAAATTATTTTTATATTCAAAGAATTTGGTAAACTTTCTGTGAAAGAAGTCCTATTGAATTATTTAACTGTAAGTATTTTAAAATTAGTACACAAGGTATATCATAATTTTTTTAGTATTATTTAGTATTATGATTTCAATTTTATAAAGTATATACGAGGCTAAACGTTCCCACACATTAAGCTCTCTGAACGTGATATAGAAAATTAGTAGAATCAGGTTGTAAGTTGTGCAAACAGACACTGGACTTGGAGATACAGACAGAGAACACTGAGTTTGCATGTGAAGGCCACCTTTCAGTGTTTAGTCATGATCACTTACTAGCTTCATGTTGGTTATGCCCATGGATTTAACTTGGATAGGCAGAATGCTTTGAAAGAAAGTGAAATTTGAAAAGAAAGAAATTCTACAAAGACACACTAGTTAATTGCATATTGTTCGGTATTTGGAGTGAAGGGAGATGGGCTGGACAGGAGAATGGCACCAAAGAAGAATGGACAGATGACCTCTCACATGGGAGCGACAGTGATGCAGGGCATTCAGCAGTGTAAGGAGCTGCTATGCTGCTTTCCATGTTCACAAGGGCACATTTCAGTGATTCTAAATGACTGCAGAGAAGTGTCAAAGTGAAATGCTTCTTATCCTTCACCACATTTATTGTGACTCTGGGAAAAACCCTTCAAAACTGTGTGTGTGTGTGTGTTAGTGTGTCGGTGGATATGTGTGCATGTGTGTGTGTGTGAGTGTATATTCATGAATGAGTATGTGTATTTGCATATATGTCAGTGTTTGTATATGTGTACTTTATGTGTGCATTTCTGCAAGTGTATGTGTTAGGGTATATTTTAGTGTATATATGTATGTGTGTATATGTCTGTACATATTTCCGTAAGTGTATGAATTAGGGTATATTTTAGTGTATATATGAATGTGTGTATATGTCCGTACAAATGTGTATCTGTGTGTATATCTATGCATGCCTGTATGTGTATTTGTGTGTACATATATGTATGTATGAAGGTCTGTACATAGGTATATATGTGTGTCTGTGTATGTCTTTGTGTATATGTGGGTGTGCATGTGGGTATGTGAGTCTTTGTTTGTGTTTATGTTGCATCGGATGGTTATGTGTATATGTCTTTGAATGTCTCTGTGTATGTGTGTTTGTTTATGTGTATCTATATATATGAGTATGTGTGCATAACTGTGTGGGTGGTTTGTCCTTCTGTATATATGCTTCTCTTATTGGTTGATAAATAAAACACTGATTGGCCAGTAGCCAGACAGAAAGTATAGATGAGATGAGGGGAATCTGGGGGGGGAGGACACAGAGAGAGGTGCCAGGGAGACACCATGCAGCAGCAGAAGGAGTACCATGCTGGGCATTACTGGATAAACCAGGAGCATGTGGAAATACCTAGATTAATAGAAATGGGTTAATAAGTAAGAGACATCTAGTCAATAAGAAGCCTGAGTCATCAGCCAAACAGTTCGTAGTTAATATACACACAACTTTGTGGTTATTTGGGTCTAAATGATTGTGGAGCCAGTGGAACAGAACTCATCCACATGGGTGGTGGCGGCAAAGACAGAAAAACATATAGAGGGGGAAAGAGAAACAATGTCTTCTTGATTTTTGTGATGGGCAATATATGCCTTTCTTTACTGGGTTTACTTAATAAGATCTTATCTTATTCATAATTGGGTCATTCATTGAAAAGAGTGAAGGGATTATCAGATGACATACAAATTCAGCTTTGGTAAAGAAGATAAGTGAGGGAAGAAATCTTGCAGTACATTTCTTTGTGTCATAAAATTCATGAAAGAAAGGGCCTTGTGTTTACTGTTAAGAGTGAAAAAATGGTACTTACTTTACAGTACGGATTGTAAGATTTCCACCTATATTAAAATATTCAGCTGCCCTGAGTTATAAAAATATATGATATATAATATCTCCCTAACTCTAATAAAATTTCAGCACTATCACCAACTGATTCCAAAGAGGGCATTCCAATCTGCCTGGTTCAGTACAGCTCTGGGTAATTTGCCAGCTCAGGAAACCCTGAGTTGTGCCATGCACTCAGTTATAAAATCTGCAGAGCTTTCCTCTCGAAGGTATCCTGTGAGTTGTACTCATATAAAAAAGAATTACCTTTGGTAGAACCTGTGAAAATTTTACTTTAGAAGGTTTTAAGTAGAAAATTTTTCTAGTGAAGTTTTAACGTTTCCATTTTTCTCTCATATGACTTTGGATTCATGTCATTGTCATTGACACGGGGGTTCTCTACTGGTGGACTCAAAGTAGTCCCTCTTTTACTTACTTCTAACTACTTCCCATTTTCTTTGATGTCTTGTCCAAGGTAAATCATTTAGCCTTCACATTTGAAAAACATGTTAAAATTAATATTTTTAAATTATGGAAATAATATAATTCTTACTTTAAATACAAACTGAATGGTATTTTCAAAATTGTCCATTATTAGGTAAGGAAAGTATAGGTCCTGATGACTTTAAGCAACAGATATCAAAAGTAATATTGGTACTTTAAGATGTTATTCCATTTACATAGAATCAGATTCTTAAAAATATATCCATTATGTGTTAGAAGACAGGGATCACTTGCCTGAATCAAATAAGGAGAAAACTATTGCTCCAGATGATGGTCAGTGCATGATATAGTGAGCCTGATGGCCAGTGTAGAACATAATAAAATTCAGAACTCAGGGGGTGTGAGAGTAGATTAGGGTCCATATTATGGATATATGGGTATTTAGGTAATACATGTGTATGTGTATAGAGACAAACAACATCAATTATTTATGCTTGTTCATTGTTCCTTTCTCTCTTAATTATTATGGTGGATTTTCCACGAAAATCCCATGTGTGTATTTGTGGACTTGAAAACACACACACACACACACACACACACACACACGTGCACATTCATACTCACACTGAACTAGGACATGTACACACAGCCTGTATTTAGTGACACTACAAGCTATATAATTAGAATGATATAGGTAAAGTATTATATATTTCCATCTCAGCTTGAACCATAATGTATAAGGTTATATATTTTCAGTGTATTTTCTAGTTTGTCTAATATTCTTAAACTTTGGGGACAATTTACAATGACTCAATGTCACTCAAATATAAAAGATATGGAAGCCATATTATTGTGATGGAGCTGTATTTAAGTATAGTGAAATTTTCATTTCAATGTCAACATACAGTTGTTTAATATGATAACATGATGACAGAATTCCTAGTAAATACTGTGGGATAAAGCAAGTTTTTTAATACTTCAGTTATATTTAAGGCAAAGCTGTAGAGGCAATCTATTGGAAACTCTAGGAGGATGCATGTTAAGAATAGAAAATAAGTTGACCTCTGGTGATAAAAACCTGAAAAGAATCATAGGTAATGGAGGAGATTCAGATTCTAGTGAAAGCTACCGAGGCCTAACCAAAAATATGAGCATTGAAAACATACTTTGGTATAGAAAGATATGATCAAAATAATGATATCTAGAGATATAGAAAATCAGAATAATCAGAAGAGTAGTGTATTTCATAGTGCCAGGAATTACCATCACAAAACCTACCACTAGGTAAACAGTCTTCCTACGTCAGTAAGAGCAGTCAGACTCTTAACTCTGCCATCCTTTCCCCACAACATTGCCAGTAAAGAGCAAGTACTCTGACGTGCTCTCATATCTGGAGTGTTTTCTGGGATTGTTGTAGATGATGGACTTGGGCAAATTTTCTCTTCTTTAGAAAGATAGTTGCTAAAGGTTTCTGCTTACTTATCTTCTTGCTTCTTCTCTCTTTTCTTGTATGTCTTGGACCTGCTTTTGGACTTCCAGTCCCTGTGCTATAAACAGAATCAGCAGGACCTGCACATGGTGGACCCATTCAAGATTTGTTTTCCACATTCCAGCCTCAGTCTCTGACTGGGTAGAGAAGTTCATGAGTGAGCCCAGAAAAGCTCAGCAGTCATCACTTCAGAGAGGAAGAAAGAAACATCACTCGGGCCTCAGGCTTCAGCTGTAGTCACCCATCCTTCAGTAAAACTGATTTGAACCCTCTTCTGGACATGGTGTGACATTGTGTCTTTTATATACTAAAAAATGAAATGGTGACATTATGGTGGGTAATACTTAAGTCTTTTAGCTTCCAGTTTCATAATGAGGAAGTTATAGAGAAACTTATCTTTGATGGGGTTTGCGCATCAAAGGTTGTTTATTATACACAAGGATCCTCACAGCCTCCGCTAATGAGAGAAGGAATTAGGAATCAATTCATGACAAATAGAGGGTTGGCTGAAACTGTACAACCTTAATTTGAACCTTTGGTTACTGCAAATATCTTTTTGGAAGGGGCACCAAGGCCATTTGTTTTCATTCTTCAAGACAGGGTTTCTTTGTATACCTTTGGAGCCAAGGCTATTTTTATGGTTACAAAGGAATCTTCTTGATATAATTAAGAGAGAACTTCTGTGGTTATTATGTATCAAAACACATTTTTTAATTTCCAGCACATTCTCCTGCTAATATATATTACCTTGTTTCTCTTTATCCCTGCAATTACGATTTTAACCATTGATTCCCTAGAAATCTTCCTTTAAAAGTGAAGAAATCAAGAAAAATTATCAAGAAAAACAGCATAGTGTTTGGCAGATACATTCTTCAGAATAAGTTAAAAATTCAGTGTTCTGGTGTCGATCTACTCTAATTTTATTGACATGAATCAAGTCCGTCTTGTCTTGTCAGCCTGATTTTCCTGACATGCTGACCTTCTTGTTCTGAAAATGACAAATTGGGTAAGACCAAAGCTTTTGGTCCATCATCACAGGAGTCCAAGGAAGGAACTCAGAGCAGGAATTTGTAGACAGAAACTGGTACAGAGGCCATTGTGGGGTACTCTCCCCAGTTTTCTCAGTCTACTCTTTTAAACAATCCAGTACCACCTGCCCAGGAGTAAAATCATCTGTCCTGCACTAGGCCTCACCTATCAATCATTAACCAAGAAAATGTCTGACTGACTTGCCAATAGGCCAGTTTAATGTATATATTTTTTTAAAGTGAAGCTTCATTTCAGGTGACTCTAACCAGGACAACTGAATCCTTGTCAGTTTGTCACACAAATACATTATTAAAGCATACCTTTCCTTTCTGTTTTATCCCAGTGATCTCATAGTAGTGTCAAGATCATAATATAATATCACATTTCAATGTGTAAATGTCCCATAGTCTTTAAAAATTCAAACACTTTAAATGTTAAATCTCTTTAAAACATTCAATCTATTTAAAACTTGATATTCTCTGTAAAAAAATCAAGGTCTTATAGCTATGAGCTCTCAAAGACAAAAACAAACCAATTCCATCCTACATCTATCAGAATGACCAAGATCAATAATATAAGTTAATGATCATGCTCATGAGGATGTGGAGAAAGGGGAACACTCCTCCATTGTTGGTGCTGATACAAACTTGTACAGCCTCTTTGGAAATCAATAATATGGCAGTTCCTCAGAAAATTTGGAATCAATCTACCTCAAGACTCATATATTCCACTCTTGGGCATATACCCAGAGGACACTTCATTCTACCACAAAATAACTTGCTCAACTATGTTCATTGCAGCTTTATTCGTACTAGGCAGAAACTGAGAACAGCATAGACGCCCCTCAACCAAAGAATGAATAAATAAAATGTGATACATTTACTCAATGGAGTATCACCCAGTTGTTTAATAAAAATGGCATCATGAAATTTGCAATAACTGAATGCAAATTTGAAAAAAACACAAAACAAAATTCTAAAACATCCTGATTGAGATAACCCAGACCCAGAAAGACAAATATGGTGTGTATTCACTTATAATGGATATTAGCTGTTAAGTAAACGATAATCATGTTACAATCCACAGACTCAGAGAGGTTAGGTAAAGAAGAGAGCTCAGGGGTGTGGTGATATCTTGTTTATACTCGAACAAATAAAGATTGCCTGAATATCAGAGAGTAGAGCTAGCCACTAGTTAACCATAGAGGTTTGGAGGTCTGTACAGACAAACAGGAAGTGATGTGGCTGGGTGGAGAGGGGAAGTGGTAAGGCGGAAGGAGACAGGAGCTCAGTCTCTTTTTGGCTGGGAAGTTGAGTAGGTAAGGTGGCTGTGGTTTTGTTCCTCCATCTCTCTGATCTCTCAGCATTTCCCCTTGTATCTGACTCTGGGGTTTCACTATTAAGACCTATCAGAATTCGTGCTATACTTGTGGGAGTGGCAGGTGGATTTCCCGGGAAACGGGAAATAGAGTACATTATGTGGGTGCACTGGGCGAGGTGAGGATGAGAGGGAGAGGGTTAGGTAGGAGGTGGGAAGGGATGGAAGGAGAGTACTGGGTGAGACACCTGGAATTGGGGGTGGGGGTTAAGAAGAGGTATAGAAATCTAGTGTAGTGGAAACTTCCTAGAATCTATGAGGATGACTGTAGTAAGGACCCCTAGTAATGGAGGATAGAGTGTCTGAACTGACTACTTTTGCAGCCAGGCAAGGACTTAGGTGGTGAGACTTGGTGGCATTAGGTTAAGTTATTGGCTGAGGTGGTGCTGTGGAGATTCCTAAGCAACCAAGGTCGATGGTAGTACTGAGGATCACTGCTCAAAAACTGTCAGCAGGAACCTATTGCTGAGGAGGATGACATCCAAACAACTCATTGATTATAGGCACATTGAACCTGTGCCTGCATGCAGCCTTCACCCCTGTATTTTAGTTTCTTTGGTGTGGAAGGTACTCTGCAGGCTGCAGACAGAGAAATCATCAATTATGCTATGAAACCTTCAACCTACAGCCTGTCCTGTTTGCAAGCTGTGCTGGGACAACGGTGGAACAGAACTTGTAGGAGTGAACAACACATGTCTGGTTTAACTTCAGATCCACATGATTAAAGGGAGCCCATGCCCTATTCTACCTCAGGAACCTGAGACTGGATAGTCCAGAGACCTATGGTAGAACCAAATACAACTGGCCAAAAATAATCAATGAAATAATTCCTAATGGTATTCTGCTATACTCATGGTCTTTCTTTGTAATAATGACAAAGTGAAATAGAGAACAGTTGTTTTCTACAGCTCTCCCTTTTGTAAACAATAATCAGATTTATAGGTCTGGGGTTTAATTCAATGGTAGAGGAGTTACTAGCATTATGAAGACCCAATTTCTATTTTCAGAACTGAGAAAAATGTTTGATATTCAACAAAATAACTTACAACATATGGTTTTTATCAAAGATTATAAATTACAGAGAGATAAATAAACTTTTGTACATATTTAATGCTATACACTTGATTTTTATTCTTGATAGTCTTTAATCTATTATGTTTTTATGAATTGTTTTACTTTTATGGTTTATTTTTTATGGCTCCCTTTGTTTTATGGTTCATTTTACTGATTTTTTCTTAAAAATAGATAGATTTTTCCCATACAATATTATCTGACTATGGTTCCCCTTTTCTCAAGATTATCCCCACCTTCCCACCCATCTTCTGTTGAGCAGGAGGGCCTTCTGGGAAGAGTAGATTATATACCAAGTGAGACTACATTGCAGAAAAGTAATTTTTCATTTGCAAGTGATTATCAGTTGAAGATAGCTTCTTGATTATGGATGGGAGCTCATGTCCATTTCCCTCCCAGTTTTGGAATCCCATATGTCTTAAACCTGTACAGGCCCTGGGCATGCTAAGCCAGTCTCAATGAGTTCATATTTGTACCAGTTCTGTTATGTCTAGAAGGCCTTATTTCCTTGGTGTCCTCAATCCCAGATGGCTCTTACTCTCTTTCTGCCTCTTCTTCTGTAGAGTTCTCTGAGTCATGATAAAGATACTTCTTCATTTATCTGCCAATAAAGGTACTTCTTTCTTCTTAATTTGTATCCCCTTGATCTCCTTCAGTTGTCAAATTCTCTAATTAGAACTATAATTACTATATATAATAAGTACTATGTGGAATAGATTTGCTGAGACTGGATCACCTTGTCTTGTTTTGATTGTAATATAATTGCTTTGAGTTTGTCATCATTTAATTTGATCTTGGCTATCAGCTTGCTATATGTTACATTTATTATGTTTAGTCATGTCTCTTTTATCCCTAATCTCTCCAGCACTTTTATCAGGAAGGTTATTGAATTTTTCTCAAAGGCCTTTTCTGCATCTAATGAGATGGTCATGCATACATTTTTTTCTTTTAGTTTGTATATATGTGAAATACATTGACAGTTGATTCATCCCTATGTTTCTAGGATGAAGTCTACTTGATCAAGGTGGATGATTCTGTTGATGGTGTGATCTTGTATTTGATTTGTAAATATTTTATGGATAATTTTTCGCTTTTATATCCATAAGGGAAACTGGTCTGTATTTCTCTTTTTTTTTGAGTCTTTATGTGGATTAGGAAACAGGGTAGCTGTGGTCACATAAAAAAAATTCGGCAATGTTCCTTATCTTTCTATTTTGTGGGATAACTTAAGGAGTTCTAGTGTAACTCTTCTTTGCAAGTCTGGTAAAATTCTGTACTAATGCCATCTGGCCCTGGACTTCTTTGATTGAGAGACTTTTCCTGGCTGCTTCAATTTCACTATTGCTTATAGGGCTGTATAAATTGCTTATATGATCTTTTTACCTTATCTAGTTGTATATGAAGAAAAAGTATCTGTCATATTTTTTGAATTTATTAGAGAATACATTTTAAAAAATGTTCTTATGATTCTTTGCATTTTCTTGTTGTCTGCTGTTATGTCCCTCTCTTCATTTCTGGTTTGAATCTTTTCCCTCCACCCTATAGTTAACTTGACTAAGCATTTGTCAGCTTTGGTGATTTTCTCCAAAGAATCAACTACTGTTTCATTGATTATTTGTATTGCTTTTTGTTTGTTTTTATTAGTTTTTGTTCAGAGTTTGATTATTGTTTGCTGACTACTCCTTTTGGGTGTTACTTCTTTTTGTTATAGAGGTTAGGGTGTGCCATTAAGTTACTGATAGAAGACCACTCCAATTTTTTTTTAATGAATTCAGTTCTGTGAACTTGTTTCTTA